ATCAAAAACTCCATTGAAAGTATCCTCAGCAGATTAAGGGAATCTGAAGATAGAATATCAGATATAGAAGACAGGATCGTGGTTAGAGACCATGAAAATAGAGATTTCTTAAAAAGAGTAAGGGACCATGAGAAATCAGTCCAACTGCTAGACGATGCAAAGAAGAATAACATAAGACTGGTAGGAGCCCATGAAAAAACTATGTACTTTCAAGTTCCCTCGAATATCTGCACCTGATTTTTCACCATGATTACTGGGGAGACAAAGTGAGACAAAGTTTTTGTTCTATCCTTGCTGGGGCTAGTGGGTTTGAGACTAAGGGGTATAATTTTACATTATTAATCAAGACCACATTTTTCTTGGGAATGGAAGATTCTCACAGATCTGTGGACAGATTATGTAGATACTCAAGACAGGAAAATGTAACTTCATTTAATATCAATTTTCTATGTATCTGCCTGCACATTTGTTCTTTTGACAATAAGAATAAATGGATATAGACTATTATAGAATTTGCATGGCTGGGTTGCTACCTTTTCTTTAAGTCCACCAGATTTCAGGTAGAAACATAGTTTTGTGACTATGTTAAGTCAATGGAGAAAGGTTCAATTTGACTTAGTTGTTAATAAAGTGTAACTTTTGATTGGCAATCCTCTTCCAAGATAACATACTTTTATGAAGGGAAGAAACCCTAGAAATAATTTGCTTTTTTCCCCAGTGTGACAATTTAAAATATTGTCAGTAATAGAATGGTCCACATGTCTTTGGGGTATAATTCACTAAGGTAAGCAATTGTTGTAAAATCCAAGGATAGAGGGTCAAACTTCTATTTTATTGAGTAGATTTACTATATATTAGGGATTGATCTAGGGCATGTGATTTACCATGCTAATGGATGTGTTCTCACAAGTTTATGAAGAATTATCTTCTTTTCTAGGCAAAATTCATGTATCTACAATGGCTGTCAGGTTTAATTACAATTCATAAGAATTTTACCATGAAGGATTTATTTTCTTTCTGAGTGCTGCCTGTGGCCCTTTTGAATTGTTTATGTCCTCATAGCTGCTTGCTTCTGTGAAATCGCACTCACCTTAAGTGTTTCTTCCACAGTGAAGGTCACCATTCTGAGGTAGGTTCTCCAAGTAACGTCCATCTGAATGAAACTATATTTCTGGAGAAAATGATCCAAAGAACGGTATGATAAAATATATGGTGAACATTTAAATTAAGAAAATATTACAGTAAAAGATGCATTGCCATTAATCCTCCTCAAAATACTGTCCCTTGCTTTGAATATAAATATACAAATTTTTTGAGGTAATGAAGATTGAACTCAAGACTTTTGCAATGAACTATGTCCTCAGCTTTTGTTATCTTTTAGTTAGAGAACAGGGTCTCATTAAATTGTTAAGTTGCCCAAGCTGGGCTTGAATTGGCAATTCTCCTGCCTTACTCTTCCAGAGTGCTAGGATTAGCAGCATGCTCCACCAAACCTGGCTGCTGTGAACAAATTTATCCCATTGTCTATACCACTTTCTGAAGCACAAGTGGCAAGAATAATGGAATAAATGTGTTTAAAGCAAAGGGGAATAATTTGAGGGGGATTAAGAATAATTTATCTTTTATTGTAATAATTTTTTTAGAAAGTTTAAGCATTCACCATCATTTTTTAATCACAACTTTTATTTGCTATTAGTCTTTTCTACACTATCCAGGTCATTTTATTTTCATTGACATAAGTGTAAAAACCAGTATTTCCCCCCACTATTGTTGAAATAGTATAGTTTCTAATGTTCAGGGTAAAGTTTAATTTTAATGAAAGTATTAATTTGAAATGGCTTTAAAAATTAAACAGTATAAAAGTTTTATAATGAGAAACAGTAGTCTCCTTGTTGTTACCAGTGACGCGGTTAAGTTCAGCTGGTTTTTGGCATTGTTCCTCGAACTCTGTTTTCCATAATAAGTAATCTCCGCCAGAGAGGCAGGCTCTAGCTATTTGTTTCCAATCCCCAGGAGGGAGAGCATCAGAGCTTAAAGACTCAAGCATGGCTTGGGTAAAGGGGGCCGTAGGGCCGTACTGAGCACAAGCAGTCTTTAACTCCTTAAGTTGTTTAAAAGGAAGAGGCCTATGAATGCGGACCATCTGCCCTTGTTGGTCTGGTTCCTCAAAAACAGGACAGACCATTTGAAACCCAGCCAGGTCCTCCCCTCTCTCGGTGGCTGCCTGTAAAGTAGCCTGTAAAGCCGAGAGAGGGTGAGGCGCTGGTGATAAGAGGTGTGGGACTGGAGGGTAATCTAGCTGTTGATCGGGGTGGGCAACTTTAGGGAAAGGGTCAAGCCCTGTCAGGACACTGGGCTGAAGTGACTGTTTTTTCAGCAGTTCTTGTTCCTTTTGTTTCCATTTCCAATTAAACCATAACATATCTAAAGGATTTAAGGGATGAGTATTTTCAGATTTATCTTTTTCATCTTTTATTTTCATTTTTTCTGTAAGAGCTATTAGAGAGAAGGGAGGCCATTCCTCATAGTTATGCTTCGTTGCCTTCTCCTCTAGATCTGTGACACCAGAGGGGTCGAGGGGTTCATCTAAACCTTCTACAAGAGGGGGGGCTGAAGAAGGGCACTCAGTTTCTTCATCTATATTTGGAATGTCCTTTGGACTAGAGGCAACCACATCTGTTTGCAAATTACCCATTAAAGTTCCTTGATGAGGAGCTAGACTTTCTTTGATAAGACCCCAAAGGCTAAACACATCAATAGGGATTTTGGGAGGCCCTTCCTGATCATAATAATCTTGTAATTGTTTTCCGACTTTTAACCAAGGTTCCAAATCAATTGATCCCTCCTCAGGAAACCATGGGCAGACTCTCTCCACAAATTCTAAAAAATGACATAACTGCTGTTGCCCTACCTTAGCTCCACGGGACCGAAGCATCCTTTCTAATATCTGAGCAAACAGCATCCGACTACCAGCTGTCCTCATATCTTATAGCATCCGACTACTAGTAGTCCCCATATCTTATATCGCCACCCCCTACTTACTTGTCCGAGTTCACAATCCAGCGGCGTCCTTCACCTTGTCCTCCGTGCTCAGGTCCCTGTTCGGGTGCCACTCGTGACGGGGCCCGCCGTCACTAGTTGAACAGTACCTGAGAGGAGGGGTGAGGATGAAAGAAAAAACACACTTCAAAAGAAAAAAGACAGAGTCGTCAGGGCTCCCAAGACCGAGCTACGAGTTTATTTTTTTTTCTTCCCTTTTATACAACCCGTGAGTTTGTT